GTGGTGTTGCACAGGGTTGTTGTGGCCCAAGTGCAGGACCCAGCACTGAGCCTTGTTGAACCTCATACAATTGGACTCAGCCCATTGATCCAGCCTGCCCAGATCCCTCTGCAGAGTCTTCTTACCCTCAAGCAGATCAACACTCCCACCCAACTTGGTGTCATCTGCAAACTCAGTGAGGGTGCTCTCAATGCTTTCATCCAGATTGTTGATAAAGATGAACTCTCTTGCCTCTGCTAAGTTTTGAGGCTGTGTTAATGCTGGGTGTGCCAGCTTGACACAACAAAATATCTGCTATTTATTTGTTCTCAGCAAAAATTAATCTTGGACAGTTGGGGGAAGTTTGGGTTTTAAATGTTTTTAAATTTGCCTTGAATTGTTATGTTTGCGAAGATAATCTGTTGTGTAGAATAGATTAATGCTTCAGTTTATCAAGCAGTTTAAAACATCTTTTATTTACTTTCATTTTTAAATTGTCAAATGGTCAGTAAATGTAGAAAGTTAATGTCATATTTCTTTTGGGGTGTATATATATATATGGACTGTTTAACTTTTTTATAATGTAAACCATATCAAAATGATAGTTTATAAGAATCTCAAAATACTTAGCTGTGTTTTAATGAAATCTAGCATCTAGAAAGGGTAACTTTACATAAGATGACAGATAATGCTCTTGGGGAATACCACCAGCTGTTCTGTGGAACACAAACGTTTTAGGGTGTGAAGCTGAGCTGACTGTGGGATTTTAACTGACATTACTCTTTTGTTGGGAGCTACAGTTTAAATATACTGAAAGCTGAATTTTCACCATTTTAAGACATTCCCATGTAGCTATTTTATGCACTATTGGTAATTACATTTTTGTGTAAATACTCTCTGGAAGGTAAGAAGTTTCTCTTGATAGTTGTGTAAATTAGCTGCATGAGAGTTTGCAATAGGAAAGTTACACTAGAAGACTGTCACCACTCTGCTCTCTCAGTGCAGATGAATTCAGCTTTTTTAAGTCAGCTTTAGAAGATGGTTTAAGTCTTAAATACTACTTTGATACTTTCACAATGTATGCCACGGGATGTGCACGATCCCTTGTTTAAGGTATCCAGAATACCTGTTTAAAAAGGACATTCTGAATGCAAATGTTGGGATCGTGAATCCAGTCCATCTCGCACTGAGACGGGAAAATTAGGCACAGCGCATCCCATTTTGCCAGGGAGGAGTTAGGACACATGTAGCTTAAAGCATACCCTCTTTTTGTTTTTCAGGTTTGCGATATTCAGACCCACAGCGGATTGCCAGCTCCCGATCCGTGCGCTGGCCCTGCATGCACTATGTTGGTGACCTCATACCCACCAAAGAACAACACTGGAGCTGGCCTTTAGGGGTAAGGTACTGTTCCACCACCACCTCCTTTCTAGTATATTACAATACAGTGTTACGTAAGTTGCTAAACATTTTAACATTAGTACTCCTATATTGTAACCTATGGGATATAAAATAAGTACATCAGGCATTAGAAAACGATGAAAAAATGCAAAACCATGGGACTTATCTTGCCCTTATGTTATCCCTATGGGCTCCTATGGTGGGTGTGATATCACCAGCATAGTGCATGCTGAGGCATCACATGAATTGGGAGCTGGCAATCCACGGTGAATCTGGACATCACACACCTGAAAACAGCAAAGTAAGGTAAGTTTAAAATTGGAAGTGTGCTGAGTTTTCCTTTAAACCTTGTTTATTCAGGAGGATTCAGCATATATTTATGAAGGTTCTCTGTTGTGTTTTTTCAGTTAATTTTAAGTGACGAGATATTAATATGTAGTGCTTCTGGCGGCTGAGTCAGATCTGGAAGACACTTTCATATTCCATTGACATAAAGTAAGCATTCCTGTTCCTGAGAACTATCATTGGGAAAAGTCATCAGATAATTTAGCACTGATGGGTTAGCAGCCTGTGATTGAAGTCCTATTATTTTAACAATAGAATATTTCACCATCTGATTTTGAAAACAGTCCTAGTATTTTGGAACTAGACAAAGATTACATGTCCTGCTGTGTTGATTGTTTTCCCCTCACCTAAATTTGTTTAAGAAGTAGATTGAATCCATGAAATCTGCTTCATGTAAGACAGCAATTTAAGCAATAGCAATTGCCAATTCAGTGTCTTTTTGTTGTTGAGATATTTGAAACAAGGCAGTATCTTACAAATGGCAGCCTGCATCAGTATCATTTTCTCAATCCAGTTTGTATTTTTCAAGTTTTGTTAAATTACACTTCCACTTTTTTAGGAAAGTGATTCCAGATGCCCTGATACAAGAGGCTTCCTGGTACGTTTCTATTACTTTAGCTTAAACTGTAGAGCCTGAAGACCTTTGAAAATACACAGGGTGGTTGGTGCTGTGGATGTAACCACTAATTTTAAAAATAACATTGTAAGTTTGCCCCTCTAAGACAGGGCTCCCTATGTTTTTAAAGGATATTGAAGATTATGGGGCTTTAATAGAAACAGTAAAATACAGCATGTAAGTGTACCTGCTATACTCATGTATTTTACGTTATGTTTTTGGCTGAAAATAGGTATTAATACAAAATGGTAAAATTGAAAAAAAGTCCTCCTTTTTTCCTTATGTAATCTTTGCTGCATTGCAACTGATGTCCTGGTAAGGCAACTGTCTAAAATTGCATGGATTTCCTTGTGTTCTTGCACCAGGTACATGGTGGTGTACAGTCATTGTCACCCAGTGTTAGTTAAATAGTTGGAAATTTTTGCCATAAAGAAATCTTCTTACCACATACATGTGATTACTCCACTGTTAAGTAGGAAGTTGCCATTGTTAAATAACTTTCCAGTACAGAAGTACTTATTTTCTAGGTTAAACTAATAATGTGTTAAGCTTATAAAATTTACGAATATAGAAAAAATAGGTGTTGCTTGAGTTGCAGATGTGAAAATAACTTTACTACCACCTACCCATTCTAAAATTACAGTAACAGCTTACAATTGATGATTTCTTCCACTCAGCCTTTAAATACTCTCTGCATTTTGGCAGCATGTCTAGTCATACAGTGATGGAATCACTCCTACCTTGTTACCTCCAGTCCTTCAAAGACATTCAGTGGAAATGTTCACTGTACTAGAACTAAATGTGTGTGTGTCACTTTAAAGAATATGGATAAGAAACTTCTATAAAAGCCATGCAGAAGAGAAAATTATCTTCAATAAATTCAAACATAGTAAATATATGGCAATACTTTTTCCAAGATAAGTATGTTTTAGCATCTTCCCCTTTCCTATTAGCAGAGGATATGTGATCCTCTCTTCTAATAACTCCATTCCAGCAGCATAAGAAATGTCAGTTAGCAGATGTAGCAACACCCCCATACTGGATATAAAGATGTACTGATAACCTGATGCTGGTAAAACTTAAGCATCAAAGGAATAAGTCATGTTCTCTGTGTGGCTTTCTCATCTGTGGTGGTTGTACTCTTGGTGTTCTCATTGTGCAAGGTGACACGAACACCATGCAGTACATGTCGCCTTCTGACAGATAAAGGTGTTGATGTTGCTGGAATCAATTTTAGTTTATATTTAGAAAAAAAGCCCAAACTTTTCTTGAGGAAGTTTTATTTTATTTTTCTACTGATCCAAGTTTAATATTTTTTTGGCAGTGTAATTAATCTCCTATTTACAAAAACTGCTACAACATAGCATTTTTTAATGTTTTCCACCTATTTTTCACTAAAATACGTAATTTTCAGAGGTTCTAAAATAAAACCAAATACTTGACTTGTTTATATCTACATTATTACATCTAGTTCTGTGCTCTGTAACTTTGTACTCTTCTGAAGCAGTCCAAGATTTGTGAAATAGAAATAAGGTTCTTCAGTGTGGGGGCGAAAAACTTAGTTGAATAGGTGTTTCTGTGGGATCCTGCCCGTGAGTGGGAAGAGCTTGGGATTGCTGTGGTGGATTCCTGCCCTGCTGCAGGAAGGGCATCTGCTTCTTTTCTAGCACGTTCTGAACCACCTCACATGACCGCCTGGAGTATTAAGAGGAGCTTAAACTAACTCTGGGTTACCTCAGTACTCCAGGCTGTAGCCTGAGGTAGTCAAGGGCAGCTCTTGAAGAGCAGTGATCACTGCACAGAGGGCACTGGGGAGCACTGCAGTCACCCTTTCCTCGGTGTCCCCATTGAGCAGGCTCTGTTGTTAGTTGTGACACTGCTGTCACTGTGATACCAGTTTTAATGATTTTTTTAATTTTTATTTTTTAACCTAGTTTGCACATACTTTAATGTTTTATGTGCAGTAAATTGCTGTTTCCCTGCAATGTGTTTATACTTCAGATTTTGTTTATATTTTGTGGAATTCTCCCCTATTTATAGGATTTCAGTGGGCGTTAAGCATTGCACAGGTTTGTGTTGACCATCTGCATAGGAGCTACTTTTGCCACCAACAGAAGTGTGTTGACAATACATATGTCAGAGAGATGCTTAGTTCAGTGGCCTCCGTATTGGCAATTTGGGGTATATATATATGGATATCTATGTGAATACCCTTTTTACCAAAATAGTGTCACTTCTACACTTGCAACAGTTTGAATGTAATTTTTGTCGTATAAATAAAATGAGCATTTTGAATACATAGACCAAAAACTCAGGGTGACTAAGTTGCATACATAAAGAATGAGAAGTCAGTTTCACATACTACTATTTGGATTTATTGTCATTGCATCTTTTAATCAGCTGAGTATTATACAGGAATCTTTAATTTATATGCTTTCAAATGGTAGAGTGGATAAGATCTTAATTTCTTTTAGAGTGAAGATGTAGTCACATTTTTGATGCAGATTTCTTTCACTGGGGGTATATTTTGAGCCATCACTCTTTAAATTTCAGCTACTAAATTTTAGAGAAGTGAAATTTTTGGGGACTTGGACTGTAACAGGCAATTCTGGGTTAATTTTTAACATTTTTGGTAGGTGTTTAATTTTACTTATTGATACATTTTTGATTTTTAAGTGTAGTAGTTTCAGAAATAACCAATTACCATGTTCTCTTTGATGACAAGCTCCCCCTTGTGTTCTTCATTGTGTAATTTTTGCTGGGTTTCCTGAGTTGCAAAAAAATGAGTATTGAACTTCTGGAATCTCTTTTAAGTATCTTGAGATTAACTGTTTTGAAAAAGCCATTCATGAATAGAAACCTGTACTGTGCATGGGGATGCTAGTGGAGAAGATCATGCTAGTGATTACTCTGACTTTTAAAATATGTGTTTGAACCTCATTATTATTCTCTTATGTTTACAGTGGATGATGTTGGAGAAAAACTGGACCACATAGGAAGCACTCCCTTGAAAATCAGCACTGAGGTGGCAAATGATGATGTTGCTAAAGATGATGGGTTTGGTTCAGAAGTTATCAAAGTCTACATATTTAAAGCTGAAGCTGAGGATGATGTCGAAATAGGTACCTTTTGAATTCTGTGTGTTCTTCCAGTAGTGTGAAGTATTTGTTCTTAATTTCATGTAATCCGCTGACTGGAATGTCTTGTAGAATGTGACATTTGTGGAGGCTGCCCATATGGGGTAATCACTGGGTGTGTATTAGTTTTGAGTTCTTTTTCAATTAGCAGTATTTATTTGCAGGCAGCCAGAGACCAAATGTAGAAGTGGCTCTGTGTCTGCAGCTGTCTTGCAGCTGCTGCTTTTCTCTGGTGTTTGCAAGACTGTGTGTCAGCAAAGCCTGTAGAGAAGAGTCTCTAGAGTGGATTGCAGTCATTGAACAGTCTTTGGTGGCCTTGATGCAGAAAGAGGAGATTGCTGGGGCTTTAGGCATACAGTCACTTCCAAGCCTAATGAAGAAACTCAAATTGTTTGCAGTTCTCTCACAAAGGAAGATTCAGCACTTCCAGGGCCTTGTAAGCGGGCATACAGCTAACCCATGTCCTGTTCCTCATAACTTGTAAAACCAGAATCCCCTTTACAGTTACCAGATCTCAAACTTCCGTCTTGTTCCACTTTACCCTTTGCATTTAGGCACTGGAACATACCTGGCCTGGAGTCCCAGAGCCATTCACAGGGGAAATCAGCCAGGCTCTGTTCTTCCTGGAGTGAAGAAGGGAGTTTGTCTCCCATAGACCAGTAGCATTGGCCTGGCTGTGCTGTGAAAGTCTTGGACTTGAGACAGAGCTATGGATTAGATCAGAAAACTCCTCCAATTAGTAACAATCCTGGCAGTTTTTCCAGTGGCTTGAACTGCTACTTCAGGAAACTTTTGGCTGTATGATGCCTTTGTGGTTTTTTTTCCTCTGAGAAACAGTTCATCTTCTCAGATGCCCTCCGGCTTCCTGCCCTTCATGCAGTGGTGACTGCTATCGAAGAGGTGCTCTTGACTACTTCATCAGGTTATATGCATCTTGCAGTGGAGATTATTTCTCTTGCGATTCTTCAGAATTACCCTACCTGTTTCACAGTGTCATAATGAAGTGGGTTTTTTGCTTCCTTGGGATTTGTTTTGTGTTGTGTTTTGTGTCTGCTAGTTTAATTGTCCATTTTCTCCACCGTTGCCTTCAAAAGCGTGAGGGTCTCCAAGCACACTATTCCACAGAGACGTAACCCATCCCAGTGATTTTAATACTATCTCAGTTTTCATCAAGCTTGGGAAAACTGAAATTTCACATTTTGATTGCAGAGGGAGAGCTGCTTGTTTGGTTGGAAGAAGGATGTTTGGTAAAATCTTTTATTTGCAAACACAGGGAGTGAAGGATCAATGTATTTAATTTGAGCTTATCCACCTAGCTGAATATTTTCCATCAGGACCAGTTATAGTAGCAAACAAGGACTCTTGGTGCAGCTGTTAGCTTGTTCTGCCATAATTTGCAGCTTCTGTACTCACTGTTCAGTCCCTGAGATGCATGGAAGACTTAAGCATCAATATTTGTCTGCCACTTCTCTCTTGACTCGAGCATTGATACCAAATTCCAGGTTGGAGCTCGTTCTTTGCCTCTGTTCAAGTAAGTCAGTGAGCCAAAGCTTGTCAGTCACACGGAGCAGGACCGCGTGGGCTCTTGTTCTCACTTCCTTCTTTCAACTGTTCCTTTTCAGACTGTGTTGTCTCCAGGGATTCAGTGCATCACCTTACATCCCTGCTAGTCTTTCCCTCTAGATAATGTTCTTGTTGTTGAAGTAATTGGCAGTGACATTTGTGCTCTCATGGCTTGACAAGCGTGATCCCACAAGTTACTACTCAGTCCAGTGTGATGAGGAAAAATTACCTAAAAATCAGTTTTTGCAAGGTGAATAAATAAGATTTTGGGAGAGGAAGAGGTGTAAGAATTAGCTCTTCACCTCTCAGGAGAGAATTTAAAGGCTGTGTTTGAAACAAGATGAGACAGTCAATTTTTTGGGGGTGTGGGCAGATGTATTTTTTCAGTTTTGCCTCAGTTCACTGCTAGAGGCATAAAGGCTCTTGGTCCTTCTTGAGTAGTGCTTGTTCAGTCTTGAATTTATCAGGACACACTAAGAGACCTTTTTTCCTTATCTGCCCCAGACTATCAAACTTGCATGATTTTATGGCAGACATGGATGTAAAAACATTTAATTGGAATTTTATGAAATAGCTTTGTTGTACATAAGAAGAAAATACTTAAATCTGAAATTAATCTGCACAGTGGCCTTGTTTACATTTACCTAATGTGCTCAACTTCTTTTTATTAAAGGTGGGACAGAAATTGTCACAGAGAGTGACTTTCACAATGGACATTCTGTAGCTGGAGTAATTGAACAAGGAGGTGTTGGTAGAATGCAGCGAGAAAAAATGGTTTACATGGCTGTTAAGGACTCTTCTCAGGAAGATGAAGATATTAGTAAGCATAATATCAAACATTTTTGTTTCTCATTCTGTTTTGTACAACAATATAAACATCATTCTCAAGGACTTTCTTAATTTTTCTGAAGGATTCTTCAGCCTGAAGTAGTAGAAAACTAAGCTCATCTTCCCTGAAAATAAAAAGCAGGCTATAGTTATTTTAAAGTGATGTGCATAAACGCATTTTGTACATACTGTATGCAATCATTCCATTATTTGTATTAGATTTAACATGTCCATGGATGAAGTTAACGAGGTCAGTCAAATTTCTCATTTCTCTGCTTGCCTACTGTGAATTGCCCTGTTTAATCAGCTTTCTGGCAAAGTGGCAAATGAATGTCATGACCTACAAGTCTTTAAGTTTGTATATTTGAATTTGTGTTGGTATTTGGTTTGGATTTGTATTTATTGACATGTGCTTTTTCTCTTTAAGGAATGTCTGAGTAAACAATGGCCTGCTAAGGGAAGGGGTGGTTCTAAATGCCAAAGGAAGAAAAGTAATTTGTAACGAGTATGAATCAGAGTGAGAGCAAATTCAATGTAGGAAAAATTAGGATGAGCAGAATAAAATTAAAGATTTATTCTTCTCCTTTAATCTAGGCTGTGCTGAAATAGCAGATGAAGTTTATATGGAAGTTATTGTAGGTGAAGAAGAAGCCACGCCACTTCCAGACACACAGCTTGAAGACTCCAGCGTGAATAAAACCTTTGTCCCTGTTGCTTGGGCTGCTGCTTACGGTAGGAATCTGTATGCTTTCTTTGAAAGTCCCTTCCCTTATTTCCTCCCTGTTCTAGTCTCCAGAATCTCTGTGCAAATGTGATAATCTCTCACCTTGTCGTAAAGGTTTGGAAATGGCTTCTTCTGCTCTTTTAGCGGTGTCAGTTAGTGGAGTTGATGAACTGATATGAAAAACTATTTTGACATCATTCATGACCTTTTACACACAAGATCTTTGGGGTTTTTGCAGTTCAGTATGAAGAAAATTCAACTTTTACATCAGTGTGTTTTCCTAGTGCTGGCCTGTCAAACAGGTACAGATTGCCTCAGTAGTTGGTTGTCCTGCATATAATGATTGGATTGCTACATGCTGAGTTTTATGGAGTAGAAAGGAAAGCTATTAGGAGAACTTTTATACTGTTCTGGATGCCAGCTCAGATGTACAGAATGCATGGGGTTTTAATGGTTAAGTTGGCTGTTGAAGATCTTAATAATAGCCTTAAGTATTTTACAATAGCTAGGAGGAAGGGGAAGAAACTTTAGAAAGGGAGTAGGAGGAATAAGTGTATAAAAGTGTTCCTAATTTCCGTTTATATACCTGTTTTAAACCTGTTGGTCTTGCAAAAAAGGTAATTTGTTTTCTGCAGCCGTCCTTGAGGTAGTAGAAGCATCTTACCAGGATGTATTGCAAGTTCTAAATATTCTTTTGTTTCATATTTTTTATTCTTGGATTTTGGCATATTAAATGCATGTTAAGAGGGTGTTAGGTCATTCGTGGCGTATGTAAGCAAATCAGTTAAAATTCATTGGTGCGATATTTGTAGGCACAGTAGTTGGGCTCATAAAGTGGTTTAGCACCACGGAGCCTTAGCACTTAGTAGTAGATGCTTTCAATCCAAAATGAGGAATATAGTCTTAAGGTATTACTTCTACATCTCCAGAACTTTGCAATGCCTCATGTAGATGGGTGCTCAGCAGCTGATAAGGTACAAGTCTTCTTATGTGCCTAGTTATACTCCAGAAAGATAAAGTGCTTCTGCCTCAAGAACAAATAGTGGATTTCAGATAACCTCGTTTCTGGATTGGTATCAGAGGACATGTATGAGGTTAAAAGTTTGCAGAAACAAACATATTAATTTGAAAAGCAGGAAGGACAGTCAGATGCAAAGACAGCTTTAGTAGATACTAACTATTCAGAAAGATGTGATTTTATATCCTGAAGCTCGTAATTATGAAGTACTGAACTGACTGAACTGCACATCTCAGTTTGGATAGAGTTAAGCTGTTACTTATTAGCTAAGTTAGTTTTCTCTCTTTATCAGACTTTCAAAACGATTGTGTTTTAAAAAAGAGTTTCAATTTATAATGACTAAAATACCATTTTCTGCAGGAGATGAAAGAAGGTTATCCAGAAGATACGAAGATGGTCAAGCGGCAGGTAAGAGCATGTAACTGTGCTTGGTTCAGCATTAAAGCTAACTTGCTGTCTTTGAGAGCATATGTGCTTACGGGTCAGTTCTCCTATCTGTGAATGCAAAAATATTAACCATAAAGTATATATTGAAGGACTTCACAGTCCTCTTTGCTATTTTGACATGAAAACAATTCTAGATGTGTTGTAGGCCTTCAGAGTGGGTGGGGAAGCTGGGAGGATCTGCCAGGTTCAGTATGAGAGTTTTGTAGTTAATAGTGTAGATAATGCAGTTGTTAAGAAGAAAAACCACATTGAATAAAAAGGAAACAACCAGTATAACTTGTAAGAAGTTAATGTCTTGAGAAGTATGAGAGATCAAGGAACGTATTTGAAAATTCATTAATATTTAAACAACTATATTCCTGATTCTTGCCAGCAAAGATAGGTCGTACTTTATATTGGCACTCTTATATATGTTCATTACAATAAGTAGATATGCTGCTGTGCAATTCCAGTCACCAGTCCCAAAGAAAAAAGTCGTTGAAGGTTTTTTATGGTGTCTGATTTTTGTTTCTAGGAAATAACTTGGATACACGATTAGAAAACAAAAACGGTAATGCAACACAGTACCTGCAGATTTGTGATAGCATTAGCACTAATAGGGTGCTAAAACAAAAAACCAAGAAAAGGAGGAGAGGAGAGGCCAGGCAATGGCAAACAGGTAAACACTGTATGGTTATGCATATTGTCATGGAGTGACACTTACTCCTGTACTATTCCTTTTCTTCTTCTTTTTTTTTTTTTGTTTAAGCTGATGCAGAATTAAAAAGCACAAACAATGATTTGCGTATTTCCTGTGTCCTTCCCCCCTCCAGTTCTGTGAATAGAAAATGTTACCACTTTTGCTGTTCAAAGTCAGTACACTTAGGGCTGGTGCGATTCATTTGAATTTTGCAAGCTATTAAAGCATTCTCACGGATATATTCACTGCACGTATGAACTATTGGGTCTGTTTGAGCAGTTTCTAAAACAAAACTATAAACTGTAGGTGCTGTGGATTGGTTGTTTTTAAACTACTGAACCATTCTCTATCTGCTGCAAGTGTAAGTGCATGAATCTGAACAGCAGTTGGCTGATTTAAAACTTCTTAATCAGTAAGTTTGTTTCCTTCATAACTTGTTTTTGTTTGTTTAAAAACAGCTGTTATAATAGGTCCTGATGGACAGCCCTTAACAGTTTACCCTTGTCATATTTGTGGGAAAAAATTTAAATCCAGAGGATTCTTGAAAAGGCATATGAAGAATCATCCAGATCATATGATTAAGAAGAAGTACCAGTGTACAGACTGTGACTTTACAACTAACAAAAAAGTAAGTTTCCACAATCATCTGGAAAGCCATAAACTAATAAATAAAGTTGATAAAACACATGAGTTCACAGAATATACAAGAAGATACAGAGAAGCAAGCCCATTGAGTTCTAACAAACTCATACTGAGGGACAAGGAGCCTAAGCTACACAAGTGCAAATATTGTGACTACGAAACCGCAGAGCAGGGACTACTCAATAGACATCTACTTGCAGTTCATAGTAAGAACTTCCCTCATGTGTGTGTGGAGTGTGGGAAAGGATTCCGTCACCCGTCAGAGCTGAAAAAGCATATGAGGACCCACACTGGGGAAAAGCCATACCAGTGTCAGCACTGTGTCTTCAGGTGTGCTGATCAGTCCAACCTGAAAACTCACATCAAAACCAAACACGGGACTGATTTACCGTTTAAATGCGAGCACTGTCCCCAGGCTTTTGCAGATGAGAAAGAACTGCAGCAGCACACAGAACTATTTCAAGGGCATAAGACTCACCAGTGTCCACATTGTGACCATAAGAGCACCAACTCAAGTGACCTGAAGCGACACATTATTTCAGTTCACACAAAGGATTTTCCCCACAAATGTGAGGTATGTGAAAAAGGCTTCCATCGTCCATCTGAGCTCAAAAAGCATAGTGAAACCCATAAAGGTAAAAAAATACATCAGTGTAGACACTGTGACTTTAAAACGTCAGATCCTTTTGTACTTAGTGGGCATATCCTCTCAGTTCACACCAAGGACCTGCCTTTTAAATGCAAAAGATGTAAAAGAGGATTTAGACAGCAAAATGAACTTAAGAAGCACATGAAGACCCACAGTGGAAGAAAAGTTTATCAATGCCAGTATTGTGAATATAGCACTACGGATGCGTCAGGCTTTAAACGACATGTAATATCAATACACACAAAGGACTATCCACATAGGTGTGAGTATTGCAAAAAGGGGTTCCGTAGACCATCCGAAAAAAATCAGCATATAATGAGGCACCACAAAGAGGCCATAATGTAAAATATGATCTCCAGAAGGAAGCAATTTAGAAACTGTGATATGCTAATTGGGGAAAAAAAAAATCTCATGAACTGTTTCTCCTGGTTTCAAAGCTTGATATTAAATCATAACTTTACATTCTTTGTATTAAAAGTCTTAAAAGTATTAGGGTTGACAGGGGATCTCATAGCCCTATGATTGTTGCTTATCAGAACCTAAAGAGCACTATAGAATGCAGAAGGATGGATGAATGTCTTAAATTTGCAGAAAGATGGATGAATGTCTTTAAATTAATAGTATTACACGTCGTTAAGCTATAGAAGACAAAACGAAGGTGATTGTGCTACCCATTTTGTCAGTAACAGCGTTTGTCTCCAATATGAACACAGTTCAGATATATGGTGGGGTTATTTACAAACTGTTTGCAAAGGTGACCGCGTCTTAACTTTTGTGCAGTTTTGAAAGGAGAGTATTAGCCAGTCACTTGATCATAACATTTTTAAATTGTGCCTAGGAATTAAATTCCAGAACTGGTCAAACTGGGGGGGGGCTTTTTTGTGTTGGGTTTGTTTTGTTTTTGGGGTTTTTTTTTAAAAAAAAAGACATTTCATTAGGAAACTTTTTTGTTTCCTTTATTAGTTTAGGTCCAACAAGTAAATTTTTAATGGTTTCAAAGCTGCTAACCTATTTCATTGCAGGATATGATGTTTGAAATATAGCATTATGTTATGGTCTCAAAGGTGGTGTTCTGGTGCTAGGGTTAAAGGTGTGTATGTATATAATTTCCCTTTTTTACCTGAAACTCCAGTTGAATGTTGTTCAGTATGGCACCTATAACAAAATTAACTTTGGATTTGACTTTTTTTTTTCCTAAAGGATAAAACGGATGCAGCTCACAGTGTTGTGCCTCAACACTGAATTCTTTTCCTCACTACTTTAAAATCGTCTTTAAAAAAATACTGAAAACAGGCTTGAAAAATGTCGGATTTTTTTAATTAACATTGAAAGTACTTAGAAGTTCTGTAGGGCAGTGTTCTTAACTGGTATGACGAGTGTCGTCCTACCTCCTAATGTGAAATCTTCCATATAGACATGAAATTGCACCTTTTAATCAATCCTTTAAAAAAGTCTCTACCATACTATAAACATGCATTTTCAATCTGTAAGAAAGTATATATGCAGTATTTAACCAGAGAAATACGCTGCCACTAGAGTTTGGAGGTGGATCTTCAGTTTACAGTGTATACATTTAAAATATGCATCCCTTTAAACAATGCTTTGTGTTAGCATGCTGCAGATCAAATGGCGCTTAATATAACAAGCTGGTCTAGGGCTATTTAATGAAAAACCTGTTCATAAATGTTATGCATATAATGTGTATTTTTTACTTTTTTAGTTGCTTCATGTTTGCACACAGCTGTTCACATGATAAATTGTAACTTCATGCTATATTGTGGCTTTGTGTTTCAGAAATGTTCATATTTTGTTTTTGCACCAGATGAGAATCAGTTCCTTGAGAATAAATTTTTTTTATATTTCTAAACTTCAGAAAGTTGAATTTGGGAAATCTCTTAGAAAAATCCGTGTTTTATGTGGCTGTAAAAAATGATGTACACGCTGTAAAATAAGATTGTCACTGTTATGTGGGATTATTATTTCTAAATGTGTTACTCATCGTAACGGGCATACAATAAAACGCATCTCTTGCACTCCAAATTTTTTGGAGTTTGCTTTTCATTTATGATGTTTAGGAAAGTCTCATTCTGTGTAAATTTGCCTGATATGTTAAATTGTGTTATTCACCAATGAATATGTACTAACATTTCAAGTAAACAGGTTACTTGAGGTACATTTATGAGACAATTGAGGGGAGAGTGTTGGGGGTTTATTTGACTTTAACCCTTTGAAGTTGCAGGTACTGTGTTTGTGCTTATTTCTGAAATAATTATCAGATGTGGTACTGACAATCCTGGGAAATTTTTCCCTTTAAGTAAAGAGAACATAAAACTTCTCACGTATTTTGGGAAAAGCCAGGTAGGTTTTGTCTTTCTATCTATCTGTGCTATGAGAACAGCTTGCGAAACAGAATACTAAAAATACTGCTCTTAATCCCCCTCTCTTTTTAGAGTATTTGGATTATGACATCAGTAATAGATGCCATTTATTTTAAAGCTTGTATAAGAGAGTGCAATCAATATTAAGTGAGCTCCTCATCGAGGATTTCCAGCAGGCTTTTAGCCAGTGAACTCAAAGGTTTTGTACTGAAAACCAGAGATGATGCAGACCTGAACCTGTTCATCTGCCTATTGTTTATGCTTCTGTTTTTTGTATGCCCAGCAATCACAGGAGGAGGCTGTAAGATTCAAAAAACTGTAGTGATCAAAGTTGGGGGGTTTTGACAATTGCAATGCTTTATTCCTGAATGTATATTGAATACACAGACTGAAGGAGTTTCTTCATAGCAGACTGAAGATGATCATTCTGACTCTGTGACAAAGCACACATCTGTGCTGGCTCATTTTTCCACCTTACAGATGGACGGAACCATCAGGTACTTGAGCATTTTAAACATTTTTCTACAGCCAACTTTGTAGAAAGGCAGTGTGGGATTAACTCTGAGAGGCCATTGTAGTTCATGGGGTGCAGACCAGTTCATGGGGCTAGAAATGCATCCTGGTTTTGGCTGGGATAGAACTAATTGTCTTCCTAGTAGCTGGTACAGTGCTGTGTTTGGGTTTAGGATGAGAATAATGTTGGTAGCACAATATGGTTTTTTGTGGTGTTTGTAACTAAATCAAGGACTTCTCAGTCATACCTTTTGGAACACTAAATCTGTGAGGAACATGTTTGTCAAGATGTGCGGGAGGGTTGGTTGTTACCAGCTGAGGTACAAATACAGGAAGGTGTGCAGGACTTGAAGCAGGTGTGCTCTTTGTGTGTGTGCCCTGCTTTCTGTGATGGCTGCGTGGAGGGACTGCATTGGTAAACTCAGCAGGAGGGTCACAGGCAGCCTTCTCTGTGTGAGTTACTGCTTTTCTTTGGTTTGTTGCATTATCTTTTAGAACGTTTCTTTGTATCAATTAGTCTGTTTTTCTCTTGGCAGGACGGTGAAACCTAGCTAAGAAGGACAACTGTGGGAACAAGGTCTGTCAAGAAGAGGAAAAGCCTTGAGACTTCACCCACACGGGTTTAAGGTTAGTGGATTACTACCCTTATGTTGTTAAATTTCAAACAGTGTAAAAAAAATCAGTCTGTCAGCCTTTGTGCTTGAGCAGTGGTGTTAAAATGCAGTAGTTTGTGATACCTCTGCGGGAGTGTGTGCCTCTGCTTGGCCCTTTGCTGGTCTGTCCAGTGCTGCTTAGATGGTGATGACTTGAGGCTGGAATGGCATGTTGTTGTGTAGCGTGAAATTCCTGGATTCTTTTCAGTGCACTTTACTAGTAAATATTGAAGCAAATTTGTGATGGCTGTTGTATTGTTCCCATGGAGGTATTGTGATTAGAAAAATGCTCCATGTCACATCACAGCAGGATTTGTATCTCAGTGCTTCTGCAGATCCCTGCTCTGTGTAGTCCGTGCTCCTATCCTGCCTGCTCCCTCCCCTGAGCTGGCAGCAAAGAGCCTTCTGGGACCCAGAATGATGAAGCAGGTCCTGCTTACTTGTTTTCAAAGCAGATGACTTCCTAAGTGGTGGTAGGAAGCAAGATAAAGAGAGACACTGCCACCTGTAAGCCTTGCAAGTGTTCTGTTTTTAATTGAGTGATGCCAGTTGGTAGTATTGTATTTTATTCCTTGTCCTGAAAATGCTGAATGGTGTCTCCAGTCAGTGTTGTGAAGTTGTGTGATCTCTGGTCTTTCAGAGATGCCCTGTAGAAAACATGGTTGTCCTTGATGCGTATGTGCTTCCTTTAGTGCACAGAAGGGTGTGTCTTGCCTTTCCCTGCACTTTCAATAAGGGCTTTGAACTGTTTTGTTGGAAACAGTCCTTGCTTGTCAGATGACTGGAAAGCAGCGACGCTAACTAAAAGGTGAAATACCCTTCCCAGCATTTGGGATAGGCTGCCCCTCCACAGCACCGGGAGCGGGAAAGGTGACATGTGCTGCAATGCTGGGCGCTGCCTGGAAGAACAAACCCTGGGGAAGTTCAGCTGTTCTTGGCTGTGTTCAGGCGTCTCCTCTGCCTGCTCCTGCAGCGCTGTACGCGATGTACCAGCACAGCCTGGCTGCGTGAGCAAGCAGTGAGTTTAACAAACATGTGCAAGGGTTGCTCTAAAATGTCAGATTTGTTTACCCCATCTTTTTATTTGAATGACAGCCTAAGAACTCCTGAAAGCCAGGAGCCAAGTGATTCATTCACGTGTTGATCATCATCTCTCTCTTTCTTCTTCAGGTTTCAAATGTTCACAATTAAAGGTGACAAAATCAAGAGAGAAAATGCAGGAGGACAGCAGCAGGGTGCTCTCAGGGTGAAGGTATGTTACCTTGATGTAGTGTTTGAAGTCTGTGTCACCTTTTCAGCTGGAATGCGGGAGGTGTCGGTAACTTTGAACCAGGGCTCTGCTTGGCTGTCCTCCAGCCCAGGCAGCGCCGCTGTTCAGATGGCACAGGGAGATGTGTGGGAAAGTCAGTGACAGAAACCAGAAGGTAATTTTCTCCTGCTCTGCAGGATAAGAACGAGAAGCTCTGCCTGCTCTCAGGCAGCGAGGGCTTATTTATTAACTCTGTCCGTAAAGGCAGCTTAATAGGATGGTATGTATGTTATTGTAATGTATAAAGTAAACACTGCTTTTAGTCTTTCTGATTTGTTCCTGAATGTACAAGTCCTAGTGGACCTACTGAAATTGAGGAGAAAAAATATCGAAGGCATACTGTTTATAATTAGGGGATAAATAGCACTTACAGAGATAAGTAAATGAGAACAATGTTTCTGTAAACTCCAGCACAAATAGTCTGTTTGGTAAATCAGTTTCAGTTCAACAGAAAAGAGGCAGTATCTGAGACTACTGCAAGTAACATGCACTTGTATAATAAAAACCCCTAAATTGGCCTTTTACATAAATCTAGTTTGAAAACAAAACCACCCCCAAATGGCCATTATGCTTCACCTGCTGGTCTAATTCAGCTTCTTGACACTATCTGTTGCTTTGTATGATCTGTTGGTAAAATGTGTTGTTATCACCACAGCCCTGTAGTATTTAGAGCGTGCGGAAGTCTTAAATACCCTAACAACCCTTGGAGCAACTGATCCTTGCTATACAGTGCAGTACTGACATTGTCTTCCCTGAGCAGCAAACTGGGATTTTTTAACTAGTTTGTGTACATTACCCACCTCTTCTTGTGTGGGGAACCAATCACTGTGGTTTCCAGTTGATTATAATGCCAGCTGGGTATGCAAAACAGAGCATTTGCCTCACTGTGGTCTGTGTCATGGATTGTAACATGGGCTGTAGTCAGAGCCAGTGTGTTTCTGTCCTTTAAGGGCATTCACTGATTGCATTGTGCTGTTAGTGGTTGTAAGAGTTAAAGAAACGTGATTGGTGTCATTGATGCAATGGTTAGCAAACGTGCCGTACAATCCCTGCAGTGCCTGCTGTGGGCGCCCAGTGAGTGTGAGCGTTAATAACTCATGTTTCTGCTCTTTGTAGCTGCTTCTGAGTGGTTTGTGTCCAACCAGTGCTTCCAACCAGTCAAGCCCAGCTGAGACCACAGCCAAGAGCACAGTAAGTCAGATCATCTTGTGTCCGCTTTAATTGGGGTAACAGCACAGTTATGCACAGGTAACAGTATGGTGGCATTAAAGAACGGGGAGCTCTTCCCCTTTTAATTTCAGTGTTCGGGTCACCAAAGGTGAAAAGTCATTAGGTGACACTGTAATGAACATGATTTATTGGAATAGAATTCAGTGACACTGTTCTGTGTCAGAGCATGTTAACTCTGTGTACTTTGTATCTTAACTGCTCTACAGCCATGAGTGGTTATTTCAAATCTAGCAGTGACTGGTTTCAGCGGGGCAAAGCACTCTCCTTCAGATGAGGATGTAGTTCACTCATTAACCCCTTGCTTCTGCTAGAAAAGGGACCCAACACAAATCCTTTTCTTGTGAAGATTCATTGAGAGGAACAGGCCATGTCACACCATCTAGAACAAGCCCCTCCAGCCCATCACCTAGACATGAGATATTTCCAGTACAGAGAGACATGATTCAGAAAGTTATTCTTAGGTTTATTTCATGGTTACACATGGCCTACAGCATTCTTTCACCATTAACCATTGCCTGGGATATATATTACTTAATAGAAATACATGTCTGCAGAATTAGAGCAAAGCAAGAACCCCACAATAAAGACCCAACACCTTTTGATTGCATAGTTTTAGATTTCCCCTGTGATTCTTTGCACTGTGTTGCTTAGACAGTGACTTAATTATGAATACCAAATCATTGTGAGAATTTCTGTGGTCCTGTGAGGAGTGGGAATTGTAAATGGGAGCTTGGTCTGAACTCAAGATTTAATCTAGGAGCTATTTTCATTCTAAGTTTTTCTATATAAAAATATACCAAGTTCTCGACATTTCCAAGCAAAGCAAATAAATACTTACGGCTGGTTTGGTATAAAGGTTCACCTGAAAAGACATCAACTCTGGTGGCACCAGCGCTCTTTAAAATCACTGTTTGCCCAGTGATGTCACTGAACTGGGCAGCTCTGGTACTTGCTGGTTCAGATGCGAAGTTGTGTACCAGCTCTAAGTGAAAGTCAGTTCCTTTGTGTTTGAGCTTCCCGTACACAGGCAGATGCGTGTTCTTCAGTGAGGCGGTTTAGAAGTTCCCTATGACGGTGGTTTCTGGGATGTGCTTCATCTTGGACAGGCAGTGGTAGATAGAAGAGCAATCTGGGAATCTGTGCAGTGAAACCAGCCATTTGTGTGTACGGGATGTGGATCTGTATCATTCCCACTTCTCAGCATGGGTAGCTAGGGCAGAAGAATATGGCTACGAGTGCAAGGAGGAAAAGGGTTCAGACGTCTTCCTTTTGTCTCTCAGATTGCTTCAGGACTGGCTGAAGAACACGGTTAGTCACATCAAGAAAGTGAAGGCCACAAACGCATGGTGTGGCACGCTCTTCTGTGTCAAAGCATGTGTGTGAAGAAGTACTAGGAGCATCCATACGCTGGTGGTGGCAGATTACAGACACAGGTAACCATGTATGATGAGACAGTGTTCTCCGTCACCTTCATGTTTCCTTGTCCTTGGCATGTTCCCCAACCTTTCCCACTATCAGACTGAACCTTTTGGGGATGCAGAATAGCAGAAAGTAAGTCATTGTGGACTCCTCTGAGCAGCTGTCATGGCCTGGGGATCTCTCTCATTCCTGAAAGAAATAAGCAGTTTGTTAGAAAAAAAAACAACCAACCATGAACTTATGTGTGTATATAAACAAAACTACCTGGTGTGTAAAGCCTGTCCCCTAATGAGGTATTTCTGTTCTCTAACAGCCTGACTTCTGAAGTGTCTCAAGGGCCCACTGAGCCTTTCTTCCTTACAAGCCCTGTGCTCTCAGATGCCAGTACTGGCAAGGACAGTCATGTCATTAAGCTGGAAACAGTTTTGTTCAGCGAGGGGCCAACATCAGAACTGCCAGGATTCACCATCTCCAGTAAACACAGAACCAGGGACAGCAGCTTTTTCTGTACTTGGGAAAACCACCGGGAACAGGAAGTTACCAGGCAGCTGAAGAGCAGGTACTGCAAATTTCTACCCTCAAAGTTTCTCTGCTGTAACTAGGATCCATGTTAAAAGAAGCACTGAAGTATTTTCACCCGACTATCCTGAAGGACTGAGCCTGGTAACTAACCAACCACTGTAGGGAGGATGGTATCGTGACAGGCCCATGTGCTTTCAGCACAACCCCACAGCACTCAGATACCGATCAGCACCCGTGTTCAGTAACGAATGCAGACAGACAAATCTGGCTGACGGTACATAAACACAGCAAAAGGACACGTGAAGCTTGGAGGAAAGGCAAACCTGGCACTTCTCTAACTCAGTAAGTTATCTCGCAGCAAAGGAATTTCATTTCAGCTGCAACTTGAACTGGTGATTGATAGAGACCTTGGGAAACTTAAAATACAACAGTTCCCATTAACGATACTGATCTCCTCAACTGCCGAGTACGCTCATCTTGGCCATTTTTGATGATGGAAAGTCTGACTAACTTTTCAAGGCAGTGGGTTGGGCCTCTTAGTTTTGTAGTTTCTTTAACTAATGTTGAATTCCTTTGCATTTCATTAGGTTGCAATGCAGGTGGATGAGTTTTAGAGATCAGTTCTAAAACTGCTGTTTGCCTGTGACCTCTACCTTCTGTTTTCTTAACCCTCCTCCAGGTAATGTATCCTTTTAGAACATGCCAGATGTTTTACCCTTCATCTACTCAGTTGTCTTTTTCTTGGTGGTTTCCCACCCTCAGACCTGCTTTCTGTATGGCTTGGTGCTGCTCTACTGTCCTGTGCCTACAGACAGTATCATCAGACTCCATTGGTCACACACATGGTTGGAAGCTGCCCATGTCGATCCTGCTCAAGCCTCTACCTTGTCCTGAGACTGGGCACAGTGCCTTGTGCCCTGTAACATAAACAGCTTCAGTCCTGTTTTCTGTTTTACTTTGAATTGCTCCTTGAAAAGTCACCACTCTTCCACAGTTCCTGGGTTAGTCATGGCCCTGTCTCAATGCAGGTTTCAGGGATATGGTACTTAATATGTTTTAATAATAGTTTGGAGTCGCTAGTACTCATGATTCAGAGGAGTACTGCCCACCAAAACACTCCTTCCCCTGGGAGCATAACACGGAAGAAGCTCCTACCTAACCAACTTCCTGGTACAGCAGTGCCCAAAGGCTGCCTCGTGCGAGGGCAGAGCCTGGTGTGGGACAGGGCTGATGCTTTTGTTACAGGTAATTATGTGTCCAAGAAAACAACAAAAGGTTGTTTTATTTATACTCCACCCACCAATTACTACCTCCTTGCAATAGCCAGGGCAGTTCCTGGTCTTTAATCAGTCACTTGGCTTTTCCAGCCAAGTTCAACTGACTCAGTTTTGGCTGATAGTTTCTTTGAAGCTAAACTGAATACTTAATTTCAGAGACCAAACAGTTAATCTCCAGGTAAACTTACGTGCTTCCATATCTCTCCCGTCCTCTCAATGACAATAGTTTGTGATTTATTGACAGGTGATGTAACCTTGTAGTCATCAGACAGGAGACCCAGAATAGGGTACTGATTTCTGTACCTGTGAGGAGAAGAGCAGCAAACCTGTGAACTGCACTCCACATGCCCATGTACAAATCACAGACTCCAATCATGCCATGTTGGCTTTCCAGTCCCACATCCCCCAGAGTGCCACGAGTAACTAAAACGCCAGTACAGGCATTTAAACGTTGCTTTAATGTGCTGGCCACCCCTCCAATTGCTCTTACACTGTTTAGTATGGAATGCGCCCTGGAGAGGAAAACCTAGCTCAACGTTTCCCCCTTTAAGGTGAATAGGTGCTATTGAGACATTTGCAGGAATAATTTGGGTAATAGAGGCTACACAAGGGAAATCCAAAACGAGGTATTTTTAAGAAAGGTTAATAGCTACGTTACTTCTTGGTGATGATAGCAGTTACACCAGGGGACTGACTGCCAGATAATTTCTCATGCTTCAATCTGAAGAGGTCCTGAGAAAACCAAAAGTAATCATTCAGATGCAATCATGGTTCCTGAAGTATTAGTTCACTGAAGTCACAGCAAAGTACTTGCAGAAATTCCCTCAAAGGGCAATCAGAAATGTGTGTCCTTCCAGAAGTCTGGCAGAGGAACAGCAAAAAATATCCTAACCCCAATTCCCAAACCAGGAGAGCACTAGTGACTTCTGGCATGTTCCCACCTATGCAGTAATCAAAGGCCTACATATAAATTTCTTAGAAGAGAAATAGGTGTGTTATATTACCTCTTGCTGTTGTTTAATAAAAGCATCTTTCTCCTCCAACATTGATGTCAGTTCATGCAACCGTATTTGCAAGTCACTGTTGCTTCCTTCTCTCCTCGATATGTCTTGCTGGAATTGGCATAACTGAGACTGCAAAACACATGTTGAGGGACAGTCAGGTGTCTGGGGCTCCTTGCAGGTCACCTGGCAGGAGTAGCTGGGGCTCCAGGTGTATTTTTGCATTAACTCCATGAACAGTAAGACCCAGAGATTGTCAAGTAAGAATGCTGAGCTGCACAGCAAATCCTGAAAGTGCTGACTGACTTCTACCCAGAATCAGTTTAATAGTCTTATAACTCGGGTTCATACAACACTAAACAAGGGGAACTGGCTTCCAGGGTGGTAAATGATTACTACAAGGATTTCAGTGAGAGACGTTTCCTACATACGGTTCTGACTGTGAGTTTTGTTTTCTGTTGGGTTTCTCTTCTTTAGTGTCTTACTTGATCAGCACACTCAAAATGTCCCTTTAGGAAAGGCTGCCAAGCTGATTAATCCCTATTTTCTACATCTAAAGAATTGTATTTATTTTTACATCACAGTTTGATGTGAACCATAAAGGTTTCTGAACTGTCACTGCAGACCCAAAAGACACGTGGTCGTTCTTTCCCATTCCTTAATTAAAAGTGAAGCTGTTCACTTCCAGGTGTACAGGGTGAGGAGCACACACATGCCAAGTTAAACAACTTACCCTAAGGCTGCGGATCTCACGATCTTTATCTTCCCTCAAGTTATTGATCATCTCTACATAACGGCTGGAGAGCTCATCCGTGGTGGTCTGCAGGGTTGGATTAGAGCAGACCTGCAGAAAATGAAATGGTGCTTCATTGTAAAAAGAGAGTTTTCATCTTTAATTTTCCTATATTAATGCATCTGTATCTGTGAATAACAGCTACTGGACACAGAACAAGTGAGCCTCTTACCTGCAGCCTGAGGCTCTGGATCTCCTGCTCCAAGGCACGCTTGCAGAACTCCAGCTCCTTTAGCTGACAATCCTTTTCTCCCTCACTGAGCCGAAGGGAAAGGAGCTGTTCCTCCAGAGAGCGACATTTTGCAGTACTCTCTCGGAGCCCTTGCTAGAAAGCACAGAAATGGGATGAGGACACAGTGTTCCTTAAGGAAGTAACATGACACACACACCCTGACAGGTACCAGGCAGCAATTACTCGGAATGCTCAAAAGCAAAACACTGGGTAGTTTTTGGCTGACTAATGACACTGAAAATACAGGTTTAGATTTACCTGCTGCTGACGATTATTCTCTCTCAGAGAAGCCAGCATCGTTTCATATTCTTTTACTTGAGAATCTTTAAAAGCCAAATCCTTCTTAAGTAAGACATTGTCAGTTTCTAACTTCTGCAAGACAAAAGCATTTATGTCAACAGCTGTAGTTGTTTAGTAAGCTTTTCCTGTATTCAGAGTGAAACATACTGAGCAATTAGTTACTAAGAAAATACTCAATTTTCTTGAAACAATGGGGGTTTTTTAACTACATCACAGACTTGCAGTATCTGGCTGTGTGCTGTGGTAGGCACTGGGATCCTGGTCACTGCTCTTTCAGTCTGCCCCAGAAAGAATTACTCAGTTACTTACAGAGTAACAGAAACCAACAAACACCCCAAGCCAAAACCACTTCACTGTAAAAACTCCTTATCCTGTGTTAAAGATGACAGTTAAAACACCCTCTCCTCTCCCTAAACTTGGCATTTCCATGTTTCCGAGTGCGGCCAAGTACTTGGGCTGCTGTGGGAAAGTTTTCTGCTTTCCTAACATCAGTTATCTACTCTGTCAGTGGCCACAGAGCTCCAGGTTCCAGGTGGGAAGCCTGTACCCAGGTGAACCACTGGAGTTGTTAAAGCCACCAGCTGACAACAGCTTTCTGATGGAGTTGGAAATGCAGCTCTGTCGGGGTGAATGGAACCACGTTCCCTGATTCCTGGAACAGCACTAGTAAATAGCCACTTGGTGTACACCCCTTGCCCAGGTCTGAAGTAAAACCAGAGTCCCATACATGACACCAATGTTGATCACTCGTGTGCTACGTACCAATTCAAAGCTTTAAATCTAATTTCACTCAGCAGGGTCATTTCTTCCTTCGAAAGTATTTGCTGGGTTTAGGCTTCAAACTGATCACCTGAAGAGCACTGCTAGAAAGAAATCCACCCATCCACTGTACGAGTCTTGCAAGCCCAGTAATGAACCAGCCATTTCCAAAAGCAGCCAAAACTGGACTCCACATCTCACCATCACGGACTTCCTGCTGACCGGCAAGCAAACCAAGAGAGGCACCTTACCCCTAAGTCATCCTGCAGGTGGCAAAGCTCCTCACGGAGATTCTTGAAAGTGGAAAGCACAAGTCTCAAAGATTTGTCTGATGTGACTCTCATCTAGGAGGGGTAAAAATGAAAATGGATTAATGGATAAGCTTTGTTTACAACGGGCTTGACAATAGGTAGAACAGAAAATGCTACACAGCTGAAAACAACTTCTACCCTTGGAGCTACTGCACGTCATCCTGCAACATGCCCAGAGTTTCTACAGAAGCAGCACATTTTCATGCACTTTGTTCTGCAAAGGGCACAGGTTTTACTCTGCTGCCTTGTAACACAGGGTAACGTTTTTAAAACGGAAGGAACACGAGTGAAGAACTGCATCTGTGCAGCAATACAGGAAACCCAAACGTGTTCTATTGCACAATCACTTGTGACCGATTCTAAGCAAGCACTACCCCACCTGAGAAGGCACAGAGGAAGGAGCAGCACCTGAGGTCTGGCCAATCACACTTGCAGCCAGGGGCAAGAGAATTTAATTAAATTAAATAAAAAAAGCCAACTCCTCCCTTTAAAAGGAAAAAGATCCCAAAGATTAAGGAGTCAAGTGGATGAGTAAGAAGGAGGACAGTCGTGCACAATAGCCTAACCTTCGTCCTGGATTTTCTTTCCATGCACATTAACAGCTGTGTATTGATTAATGTTAAAACACAAATAGTTGTGTTTCCTGACATGCTTCTGATATTTGAAAGAAGAATAATAGGTTTTGAAAGAACACACAAAATAATTCCTCAAGTTTTGACTCATCTGGAAGGGCTGAATATTCCACACAAACTATTTTTTTTACTACCTGGAGAAAAGTGAAATCTTCTGCCCGTTTCACTTCCTCTGACTCTCTCCCTTCACTTTATCTGGTGATCGTTTGGGCCGAGGAAACCCATAAGATCTCCATCAATACACTGATGAGCCCATGTCCTACTTTTTTATCCCTACATTCCTATGTTGTGAATAAAGCTTCAAAAAATAACATTTCTAGTGTAACCCACCCATTTGTTTGTTTGGGTTTTAATTAAAGTGGAATTTCAGTTCTTAGAGTTTTGTTTGTTTTATTGTGAAATACACTGTAAGAGTAGACTAAAAGAAAAATTAGTCAAAAAGGTTGAATTTAGGCTATAAAAATTATCAGTAAGTCCCCACTCAGCAATTAAGTGCTAGAGGTTGCTACATTCCAGAGGTGTCGTGTACTTCTACAGTGAAATTCTCTGTGCTCCTAGACTTGAGCCTCTGGGCATACCCCACACAGTCATTCCCTGAGCAGTTTGACAGCTCAGAATCCTTGGATGTAAACCAGACCACACATCCCCTTCACCTCAGGGAGGCCACCTCTAGACACACCTGCAGCGTTGTACTAAAAACCATGCTGTGAAGTACTACAGTGATAAGAGGCAACAAACAAGCAGCCAGTACCAGAACCTTGCACTCATCTGCCTGCCTTAATGTGGCTGGTGATTGCAAAGGCAGGTTATGGTAAGGCAGCTGAAGAACAAGATCTTAAGAAACACAAAAGCCTTTATAAACGTAACCAAGCAGAAACAGTTCTGGTTTGTTATGGCATGTCATCAGTGTGCCTCGGAACAACATGCTGTGTTAGAGGGTTTTTAACCAGGGTATTTGCAAAAGGTGAGACCTGAGTTACAAGCATTGTATGTAGCTGGCAACTGATAGCAAATTCAGCGTTCAGTAAAGCACCTACTATCTGCCTTTAGCTTTTGAAGTAAAGCAGTAACACACACAAAAAAAGATTAAAGGTCTGTGTTCTCCTATATCTGATCAAAAGCCAAGATGGTTTCCAGTGAAACGAAGAAAGCACCGGTAAAGCTTAGTTTAAAATATGCAAGTAGTCTGTGGAATCAGCTGCTACAACATCACTCGAAGCCACCTGTGTGATTCTATGCTCTTTACACTAGGAAAACGTGAATAAGCAGAACAGAGAGCGAAGTATGTTACGTACAAAGTCCCTGGTATGTGTAAGCCACCTTCTGCTGTTTCAAGTTACTGTAGACATCCACGCACACCCTCCACCCCACTCATGTACCTGGAGGAGATAACGAATCTGCTGCTTTGTTGCCTCAGACAGTCCTTTGGGAATTAATTCTTCAATATCTTCAGTCTAAGCAAAGAAGGGAGGAAAGGGGAGACATCTTCATTAAGAGTTTTGCCTGGAAGATCATAATGTGGTTTCTTCATTAATTACACAGCTCTTCTATGAAAAGCATGTTTAGTACAAGGCAAATAAGAACGAAAATAGATCAAAGTGTATCCAGAGAATTTCCCAAGCCATATATATGTGTAGCAGATAAAAACCAAGATGAAGTGATACATGAAGCATGTATTCAAATCACTAAGTGTAACATTTATTCTGAAAGCAGGATTCAAAATAATCCTCTCTCCAGAAACAGCAGCTGACACACAGACACAACTCCCAGCAGTTAGGACAGGAGCAAACCTCGCGTTCCTCCTGCACAGACTGTCAGTAAAGGCAGGATGAGCAGCCTGTCACAGGAGACACTGACAGTGATCAGGCAGCATTTCATCCTAGGCAGGTATTTCTGCCGTGCACACAACGCCTTCAGCGGCGTAACAGAGGTACCAGTCGTGGCCCGGCTGGTGAAAGGGAGCTTGCTGCAGAGGGGAAGCCTGTGCTGGCAGCTCGGAATGCTGGCACATTCCTCTCGTTCCTGCGAGAGGCACTGTCTTCACTCCCTGCAGAGCAAGGCAGCACGTGTTGCTGAACTGCAGCTTTGCTGGCAAGACAGTGAAAGCTGCTTTGCAAAAAACACATAGTGAAAATACGTGTGGCTGTGTGAGTTTGTTTTACAATGGAACCAATTGGCACAACAGGAAAGACTTCTCAGGATTTGACTCTCATACTGGAATAATGCAAATTGTCAAAGTTTCCTTTCAGTACTATCACATTTGCAAATACATGCTAGCTGTAGGTTTCAGACTCTGAATGTTATTAACAAACAGGAATTATCAACTGACAAAGACCAGCATCCTTCATTTAAACTGGCTGGGCTTAATTTGCTCCAAGATCCACACCACTGCTTTAAAGACTGTCGGGGAAGAGCTTGCCAAGAGCATGCCCAGTGCTTACCTGACACGTAAATTCAATGTCATGGTTCCTGTAAAACAGACAAAATCCAAGGGACCAATTAACAGAAAGCTTCTTGAGACATTTATTCAAGTCCACATTCAGAACTGTACAAGGCTTATCTTTAAAATGCAAAGCAAGGAAGGTTATTTGTCACATTGAGAGCTGTTACCTTCCTCCTAAGGTGCTAGGCAACATGAGGTGCCTAACTCCATGTAGTTAGGCTGAGGAGACTGGACTACTAACAGCAGTACGGTTAACACAGGCTGCCTCCTTTCTCTGGGTAGTTATCCCAATTGTGTTCAGTCAACCCCATTACATTCCTAATTGGTTTGGGAATGGTTTACCCAGAATCATGCTGCAACATACTGACGTGCCTGAACTGTTTACATGCAGTGTCCGGGTTTGTGTGTGGCTTAAATTCCACTTTTCCCCTGCTGTGGGACCACTTTTCTTATTTAAGTGACCTTGGAAAGCACCAAACAAGACTGGGAGTGAGGGGGAAAGAATGAAGTACTGGCGGTTGTGAGGGAGAGGTAAGAATTCTGTGCAGGTTACTGGCTGCTGTGATCCCGTGTTTCTTTTAAAAGACACTGTGTAGGGCTCTGCAGAGTAAGTGCTTAACCTCAATTTGCATAAAGATTCTGGCTTTATGCCTTGTGGTGACCATCTTTTAATCCATGCCATGACATAACAACATGGCAGAACAAAGGAAATGGCAATCTGGACATTTGGGTTGTTTCTTCAGGACACAGTAATAGAATTGTATCATTAAACATATGTCAGAGAATGCTGTAACTATACTTGTTTTCTCTGTGTGCAAACGGGCATACAGAATTCTTACTGCATATTAGTCTAACCATTTGGGAAGAGCATCAAATTAAATAGATTTACTTGGCTTACAGCATTTCTATGTCCTCAGTTACTCAGCAAATCAGATGAATGTGTAAAATACGCAGTCAATTCTAGTTGTCAGGGAAGAAAAAACCCCACACTTTGCAAACAATACTGTCCTCTCAGCTGTGCAAAGGTAGGATCTCAGGAACGGGGGAATGACAGAACAGATGTAATGCCAATACCTTCCTCCTATCTTCTCCACGTGCTGCAGCAAACAGCTGTGCAAGTCGTTGGTCTTGCGGCTCAGCTCAGCGAGGAGCTCACCGAAGTAGCGGCAGTCCAGCTGGTCGTTATTTGCCTGAGCACAGTTCACCTAGAAGGAGATATGCAAAAAAGGTCACATCTGAGCTCCCTTCTTCAGGATGAAAGCTGGACATGAACATGCTACAAGTATGATGGGTTTGCTCTTAATAATTGCCAGTTTGTTTACACTGTTCTTTTCCTTGGTATCGAGTCTTCCATGTCTTCCGGTTTTCAGTAAACTACAGAAATAAATAGCTTCCTTTCCAACAACAAGAAATATGCAGAGCAGTATCTTCTACAGCAATGTCATCATTATGCTAATAGCAAAGTGCTGAGAATTAGGAAATCTCATTAATATACATGCTTCCCTGGCTGCGGTGGATGAGCGCCTGTGGGCAGCACCCAGATAAACCCAGCCGGGTGCCAGGCTCCCCACTGAGCAAATGGTATTTGTATTGCCACAGTCCAAATGTTTATGTATGTGAACAATAAAAGGATTCCAGCAGCAACCAGAACTGAGTGTACCTAAGTTGGCTTATGGGAGTATCTGGCTATGGAAGATTCCACATAGGTGTAGCACTGAGGTCACCAAGTATGTTTTGTCCTGCCACCTATTTATTGAGTAGGTGAGGAGGGACTGCTACACTCCCTCCCCAACTGAAATAACAGTACACGTGTATGCCAAGCCTCCTGCAGCCCTTAGAAACTCTCAAACTGCAACCTCATGCAAAATGAAGGGCGGAGGAAGGTAGTTTTGTGCTTACAGTGAATCTATGTCAAATACTTGTACAGCAAATTGAAATATATTTGAAGTCGTCACTGAGCGGTTTAGGTAGAAAACAATCCTGAACTGATGTATGTCAAGTTTATAAAGTAATGTATTTTGTTCTCCAAAACCAGAGGCATAAGCCTTACATTATTCATTCTTTGTTGTACAGGGACTGATGAAACCTGACTCAATGAATGGGTAACACTCCCAGATAAAGAAAAAAACCCAAACAGACCAGCAAGACTTAACAGAGTTAAAGGACAACAGAATGATGATCAGTCAATACTCCTAAGCACAGCTCAGTGCTAACAAGAAATAGACAAAACAAGTAAAACAGCCTTTTTTTGCCTCTTAATATCATGTGTGAAAGCCTTGGACATTTCCAGACAATGCCTGCAATCACAGCGTACGAAGAAGTTACCTGCAACAGACACACGAACTCTTCTGTTCACTTACAACGGGCGTATGGTGCTTAATTACCCTACTGTGAGTCTGAACAGAAACTTCTGAGATTGGAGATAAGCCATTTTATGTATTTGTAAAGTTTTATATTCTTCATACAAAGCAAAGCCACAGTGGTGAAGAGTAAAGCATCCAGCGAGAGATCCTTACCGGCTCACAGGTTTGCACTGTCACCCTCCTCACGGTACTTCCTCTGCAGTCATCGCTGACAGAGACTGGAAGGACTTCACAGGGGCTGCTGGTCTGTGTCTGCTGGCACTGGTGAGTGACCTGGGGCTGCTCTGGGTACTGGCACGGCTGGGCAGCCTGGCACTGGTCCACTTGCTGGGGGCTCTGGCACTGGTGGGAGAACTGATACTGCTTCTCCTGGAAACAAGAGTGGATTGTTTCAAGCTGCCGGACATTGTCGTAGTGACATGGAAGCTTCATATGAATATATAAATGAATGAACTGTGGGTTTGCATGGAAAGGCTAATGACAGCTTCTGATGTTTTAATAAGCCTGATAAAGCTGCTTTTTCTCCTAGTTGAACATGAGTTTGCCTCACGCTTTCGTTGTAATGAGATCAGTGAATTATTGGTTGTAATTCACCGACTCCTCAAATTTCAGTAGCTGCAAATGAAAAGCACAAGACCTTTCCTAAGTTGTTTCATTGTGCTGATACTGTTAATGTACTCAGGCAATGGGGACCTCCCTTACTTACTTTAGAACACATATCCTGTTTCATTAAGCATTTCAGAGATCAAATGGAGAGCTCCAGTGGGACTAAGATGAATTTCAGACAGCTTTGCCAAATGTATTTTTTCAAGAATGAATAAAAACAAATAATAAATAATGTGTCTTTTTGTGTGTGTGTGTGTGAAATATTTATACTGGTTGTTGTGGAACCACTGCAAGAAACTCACAGTCAATATTCAGATAAAGACTGACAGTTCTAGAGACACAACAGCAGCTTTCACTGTTAGTCTGAAATAATAAATTCTTAGTAAAAATACAGCAATGCTTTGAACTTCTACTCTCCTTGCAGAAACTGTTTCATTTGCTTTGAGAATGTGTCCTCGACCTCAATAAGGAAAAAAAACCCCACCAACCCCCCCCCACCCCAGCCCAGCAGCATCACTTTCCTGCTACCAGCGCAATTTTCTTTTGCAACAGATAACATAAACAACCAACTCACTTGGAGAGGATTTAATAGCTCGTATTTTCTTATTGTCTTTTCATAGATGACATTGTTTCCAGGACAGAAATTTGCCCCTCTAAGAAATGGGGATAATGGCTCCTGTAAAACATTTTTTGAAACATTCATAAATGTTGTCAAACAGCAGATTCAGGATGAATGTAATTTTGACTCTGACATGAAACAGTTTTCCTACCTGATCAGGATTCTCAATAATAATCCTTCGAAAAGTGCCCTGCAAGAAAGAAAATCAGAGATTCAGTGATGACTGCACTTTAACCTCTAAAACCTTTTATGCTCAGAGCTGAGGCTTATGTGGATTCCTAAAGTCATCCGAATACTGTTGTCTGTGTTTACTGCTATGAACACGCTGAGATCCACTGGCCGAAATCACTTAGAAATGCCTTTCCACCCCAAAGGAAGCAGCCCATGTACAGGGGTAGTACACAACCTGTTCCTCTCGGGTTTAAGAGTGTTTTTTCTCCATCACCTCTCTGCAGGTTTGAGGGGCTAAGTCCTTATTTTCTCTAAGTGCCAGCAGAAGTGGATACAAATCAAAGCTGGTATTCAAGAATCCCATGTCCCTATTCCACAGCCACTGTCCTTCACTGATTGTCTTTCACGCTACACATCAAGGTCAGCTGGTATAAATGGATGCACACCTTAAACGTGATTTTTTGTTTTGTCAAGGGAAGAAAATCTGTATTTCGCTTTAACACCAAACTGAAAGGGCAGAGGCACCACCAACACATCCCATCGGGTCACTACCAAATGCACCCAGCAGTGCCAGCTGTTTGTAAAAGCGGTCACAAAACTCCACAGTTGACACCTAGGAAAAAAAGATGCCCACAAGGAACATTTTGCACATTCTTGGATTAAAAATGAAATATGCCTTTTTACATTACAGGGATCTGTAAGTGGCAGCAGTTGGCTTCATTTTCAAATAGATTTTGATGCTTTTCACCCCAGCACCAGCTACAAGCAATTGCAGACACTGTCTTGCACTTTGTGGATTACCACCAGTTACACCAAATTGTGCACACTGCTCCACATCCAGTTCTTTATCCACGTAAGCAAAATTCCCACTGAATCCTATCTAAGGATTGGGCCATTTGTTACTTCACACCATACTAGTTCTTCATCCTCACAGTACAAACCTCCAATTTTCATAATAATCATTCCTTGCCTTAACCCATGGCAGTGCTTGGGAAGTTTATATTGCTGCTGTTCAGTCTCAGAAACGTTCTTAACTGGGTAAGAGCAGCTCTGGAGCAGGTCAAGTTTCCAGCTGTGAACTGTTGCAGAAGTTTAGGAAGCCTGAAGCGGTTTTCCCAATCTCCCAAGAGTGAATCATGACAGCACCACGAAAGAGAAATCAAAGTGGAAAACAAACTGTTTCAGCAGCAATCACAGTAATTAAGAAATCTCAAAATCGTAACTGCTGCAGAAAACTTAGAAAGCTGCTTAGTGCTCCTGCAAGACACCGTGTACCTGAGGCAGGTCTGTTAAGGGAAGGAACCCACCAACGCCAACAGAACTCTCTGTATCAGGACATAACACCAAAAAGAAATATTTTGGAGGTCTAGAACATAAAGCCCAACTCCTACATCACTTGGACACCTACAGAATTAGAACTAAAAAGTAAAACACTTAAAAAGAACTAATGCCCACTGGTACTTCCTTCACATCAGTTTCACAGAAGGCATCATCCTGGAGCACTCCAGTGTTACAACATGAGTATCATGAGACATCAGTAATTGTTCTTATTCAGAGTTGACTACTATGGTATGGCACATGGAAACAAGATAAGCATCGTGCATGAAATCAAAAGATACATTTTCAATCCACTGAAAAGTTGGACAAACCTGCCTGAACTAAATCCTGCCGCCACAGGGCTTTGGAATACACAACTCGCACTGTCTAGTTTATTTTATCTGGTTACCTATGTGTTCTCAGAGGAAAACATTCAGAACTGAGAAGACCAGAGTATCTTAAGTTGAAACATACTTTTATAATATTCAAAAGGACACTCTAATCATATGTGGAATATTATATAGGACCTAGGAATGTTTTGTTTGGATAAAATCATGCTTATTTTTAAGATACCCAAACTCTTTCATTTCCAAAGGACTTTGATGCAGATACATTTCCCTCCCTCCTTCACAAACATGGATTTGCCTGCCCTTCCTCCCATACCAGCCGAGCAGGCTGGACTTGCACAGGCTGGGAGGGAACCGAGAAGCCAGAAACCCTGTGACTGCCAGCCTGAAGTGCCCACACACAGTCCCTTGCTCCTCCCAAGGAGATGCCACAAGTGTGCCGCAGGAGGTACACTGCGATGGAAGATGATCTCGGCCTGTTTCCATTTTTCCATCATTCCCAAGGGGCACAGCTCAGCCTACTCTCAAATATCCTACAACACTGTGGAGATGCAGTGTTGTGCAGCTGGGAGAAGGAAGAGGAGGCTGGGATGTTAAAGGGGCGAGCCCAGCATAACAGTGCTGCTGTGGGTTTCAGTGGAGTGACTGGGTTTGGGATTTGCAGCAGCCTGACCAGTTGATCTGACCTATATAAGGATAATCTCAAAAGGTATATGCTAATAGTTTGATAAAGATTTTTGCTACTCTTTAAGATTTGTAAATAAGATATTTCAATTTTAAAATAAGCATTCCATAGATTTATCCAATTACTGTGTGCAAACTTTATACAAAACCAACCAGTACACTCACTCGTATTCCAACAAGTTCCCCTTAGCTTCAGACAAACCAGCGATTAAGGTGAGAATTTAATCCATGTCAAAACCTTTTACCCGTAACACATTGTCTTGTTAATTACAAGCAATCCCACCAGGATTTATGAGTCACATTTGGCAGCTGAAATCCGGAAATGGCAGCCTACCTTTGAGGGCTGCTTCCAACAACACGGAGCTTACAAGCTGGTTCATATTACACCATTTTCACAACGGGAGGTGAGAGCCCTCCACAGAACAGAGCCCAGCCATGAAAAGATCTTACTCGCAGATTTTCTCCCATGGGTAGACAACTCCTACAAAGGCTTTCAGGACTCTGCCCTCTGCACTGACAGCAGACATCCTGTGTGTGCCATTTCATACATTGTTTTTTATGACCACGGTGAAAGGGTTCATACGTGTAAGCCATACGAGAAGAGAATTTATTCTAAACGACATTCTTCACTTAGATGAAGCAGATGAGAGAAAAGATTGCCGTGAATTACTCCAGATGAAGCTTGTCATGGCTGGGAACAGCATTTGGCTTCCACATCAAGGATAAAACAACGTTAGACCACAAAAGTAAAGAAAACGGATCCTGAACTACAAAAAACACAATCACGTGTACTGTATGCACACACTGGTTTCAAGTGTTCCCTCCCTCTAGCTTATTATAAACACACACAGACACACACACGACTAAATAAGATGACAGCGTATCAGCAGTGATGTAGACAGTTGTTATCATTAATCTACAAAAGTTCTGCAAAAGTAAATTAAATACTGCTCAAAGATTGCTCTTCACCTTATCAACAGTAAGAAGCTGAAACTACAGCTCTAAGCTGCCATCAACTGGGAGTTCTAGTGCTCAGTTAAACCCCTGTGCAAGTTTGGGATCATGTTATTCAGTTCATGCAGCAACTCATGATCTGCTCAAAGGGCAACTGAAACTTCCTGCACTCCTCCCTGCACTTCTTTCTGACAACTCCCATTCAGCACCAAGTATGCAACTTGTCTGCTCCCAGCCAACTTCCCTGTTTGTTACTGTTTTCTTCTTTAATAACTTCTTAATAATCTCTATGAAGCACCTTCCCTCTCCGCCATTAAAACTGCAACCCACAGCCTGATCTAACTACGCCCTCTTTTGTCTTTAAAGTCTAATCCAGCAAAACACTTCAGCAAATTATTTTTCATTAGCACGATTTAATGGATTCAGTGACTAAAAGAGACGTTGAAAATTAAACATACTTCATAGAGCAGAGACAGCATTTGAGTCTATAATCAAATTGCTCACATACTTATCTGAGGAAGCCTGGAACTGCAGTATTTATTCTAATGAATATTTAATTAATTGAATGCAATTCAGACTATCATCTAGCCTAGTTGAGCAGATCACTTATCTGGGAGGTGAGAGACCAGTGTTTACACTCCTGCCCTGCATCTTGCTAAAGAGGGATTAACAGCTTTGCTAGGGCAGGAATGTGTCTGTCATATCCAAGTCTATAAAAGCAATTAGTGAAGTGGCTCACTCTCCAGAATCTACAGAAGGCATCCTGAGAGGAAGGCAGCCCTTGCACTACACAAATCTGGCTTTGAAAGGAAGCCTGATTTGGTGCTGGTCTTAATCCCTGTTCTTTTTCATAGTTCAATATTTTTATACCACAGGGAAGAAAATTAAATAAGAGTTTGACCTGAAACAAACACACGTTGCCACACTGAGTACAACGTATGAATCCCACTTCTACTGACTGTTTGATGTATGAGAGAAAGAAAATGGTTTAAGAATAAATTCTGATCTTTTCATGTTTTATAGTTAAAGCAGTTCTTAAGCCATTGGTTTCTAGTTTTGTTTTTAAGATTTAGCTCTGATGCCAATCACACGTTAAAATTACATTAAATTCCATTAATACCTCCAAGCCATTCCTTGACTACGCACACAGCAGCAAACCTGCTG